AAATGGTCCAAATCTCAATACGTGTAACCAAAAAAAAAAAAAAAAAAAAAGAATCTCGATGCGCATAGATTTCGCTGGGAAAGACTTCGTAATAATATACCATCGCTTGGACTTTTTTTGTCTTGTTTTTTTTTTAAAAACACGGGCCCAGTGCCCAAGGCTTACATTAGAATTTGAGGCCGGGGTCCTCACAGTCTACCCGGAAAACCGTCGCTTGAACTACAGCGAAGGAAAAGTAAAAACCGATAACAAACATTAGGGACACAAAATGACGGCAAAATACCATGTAGTCTACGAAAATCCGCAGAGATGGTACATAGGAGAGGGGGGGAGAGGGGAAGAGTGGTACATAGGAAAAAAAAAGAAGGAAAAAACGCATCAACGATAGCTATATCTGCCATGTCGTCGTTTAGTACACACTCACGTGCCGTCTAACCGGTGCCAAACAGATCAGGAATGTAATTCCTGACAGAAATGTTCAATTACCAGCAGCAGTATAATATGCGCAACGGCGGTAACTAAGTAACAACTTCGTTCCTGAAGGACAGGACCACGCGTCTGAGTGAGGCTGCACAGTGTACTCACACTAGCAGTATCTTGAAAGTATCTGACCGAATGTACGGCCGGACCAGTACTTGATCCTCCGAACAGACATGCAAACTCAGGGCATAGTACTCAGAGTACAGACTTTCTCCACAAAGCTCTGGACGTGAATCAGATTGCAGTCCGATTCATCCCTCACCTTGCCGTAAGTGTGGTCAGATGCATCCAGAACACACTCCGTGTGAGTACCAACGTCTGAGAGTAAACCGGACTGTACGTAGGGCTTTTGGCCTCTATAGTTACCAGGTGGGTTGTACCGGCAGACGTAGATCTTTGCGTTTGACCCATCGTTGCAGGAGGAGATAGCACAACCGACTTGTTTGGTGGTGGCCCAGACGACCTGGGTGTAGTGGCCGCACACCGCAGAACAGGTGTTGGTCGTGTAGTTGTAATAGCGCCTCTCATCAGCCCAAGCGGCCACAACATCTGATATCGTGGTGTTCGGAGTCCAGGATATGGCCAGATTCTCCCCGTAGCCGCTGACGGTGTGGACTATCTGGCAATCCACAACGAGATGGCTGGCCCAACTAGCTGCAGAAGAAGCCACTGTGTCGCTCCAGATGAGTCCAGGCACACCGACCTGCGTCCTCCCTACGTTGTGAGCATCCACCCACTCCGTCGCTGTGGTGGATTGAAGAGCACGCCCTCGTCGAGAAGCTTTATGGAAGCTTCCTCCTCTGCCACCGAGAGTCGACGTTGACGTAGCCAGCCGACGGTTCGACGAACGCCGACGGAGAGCGGCGGCGTGCTCGGAGTCTGATCCTGACCATGCTCCAGCCCCCTCAGCTGTCGACACGTGCACAGAATCTGTTGCTGCCAACACTTCTTCTTCTCCTCCTCCTCCTGTCCGGCCCATCGCCAGGTTCCTCCCGGCAAAGCTCCTCGACTCAGTTGGAGAGGCAGCAGTGAGCAAAATGCGGGAACCTCCATGGCCGTCGGCGCCGCTATGGTGACTGTCACCAACTGTGTTAATCACCGCCACGAGCAGAAGAGGCATCATCAACCTGATAGCCATCGTCGAGCCTATACTCTGGAGGTAGGCTCCCCCCAGGACACTCTGCGCGGCTCTGCTTCTCTCCATAAGCTGGGCGACTTGGACTGTGCTTGCACTCGGCCTCGCTTCGGTCCTCTCCTCTCTCTCTTCTTCTCTTCTCGTCTCGTCTCACCGTCAGCTATTTCGCTGCTGCTCTTCTCTCCCCTCTTCTCTCCTCTCTTCTCTCCTCTTCCGTTTTCCCCTCTCTCTTCTCGTCTTACCGCCTCTTATTTAAACATCTCTCCCCCTCTTCTGTTCAGTTCGCATGGCCTGAGAACGTAATTATGGCACACGTACGGTTGTACAGTCTGTGCGTTTTTTGGTACTGGTAGGGCAGCAAACGAGGCGACAGGGCCTCGCTCCGCTACTCACCACAGGCACAAAAGACCAGATAGACACGTTGGKGGCGGCTTCAGGGAAATACTCTTTTTTTTTTTTTTTTTTGAAAACTACTATATATTCGTCTCTCAAATCTTTCATCATCATTCAAATTATTCTTTCAAATTTTTCTTTCTATTCACCCCTTTCGCTACCTACCTACCTACCAACCAGTACTCCTAAGGATTTGTTGTCTCCCACCAATGGGAGGGGATGCATGTTGGCCCCCGCCCCAACCATGGTGGTCACGGATGGGGTGGGCCCACGCCGCATGTTGGTCCCCGCCCCAACCATGGTGGTCACGGATGGGGTGGCCCCACGCCGCATGTTGGCCCCCGCCCCAACCATGGTGGTCACGGATGGGGTGGCCCCACGCCGCATGTTGGCCCCCGCCCCAACCATGGTGGTCACGGATTGGGTGGGCCCACCGGCGGGGGTAGACGACGAAAAGGGAGGGGCAGCTACTGACAAAATGCTCCGTTCAGGGAAATGTTGGGTTTCTTCCAATTCCCGAGACACATGCAAATTGGAAAGTTATAATGACAATAAAAAAAGGCCTGAAAGGCCGTCCTGTCCAGATTTGACAGGTAATTGAATTGGTTGGGCTTAAAGAATTAGCCTTTAAAAAAAAATTAAAAAATAATAATAAAAAAATAAAAAAAAGTTTTAGATGCCCTCTTCCTTTTTTTTTTTTTTTTTTTTTTAGAGAAAAAAGCTCCATCTATTGGTGGGGAGCAGCACCTGCTGGAAACCGGGTCCAGCGTCCCATAGATACAACCATATCCTCACAAATTGTCACAAACTGGGAACCGGGCCCTCTTCCAATTCTGGAGACACATGCAAATTGAGTAAGGCTTTTAAACTTAAAGGTGGACGTGATTCCGGTCTGGTGTATCCAGGCTTGACCATGAACGAGGACGCATACATCGACGGAAGTCCTCGTGTGAGCATAGCCTTCGAGGTGCGCAGGTACGGGCACCTCCCGAGTACAACACGTTGGCACATGATTTTTTTTAATTATTATTTATTATTATTTATATTTTTTTACTTCTTTTTTATCTCTTTTTCTTCTTACTTTTTTTTTTTTTTTTTAATTCAATCTGTCGTCCCATTTTATTTCTTTAAACCAAATCAGGGCCGGGGGACCCCACAATTCAACCCGGAAGGAATCTTCTGACAGCATCAGTCAGCTTAGCTTATGCGTCAGATGGGGAGTCCTTCACCAGGACAACCATGGTCACCCAGGACCTTGTCCTGAAGTCCCCTCTCTGAGCTTTACCTCTCTTTCCAGCACGTCTGGCATTTTTTTTTTTTTTTCAATCTTAACAATCTTAGTGGCGTGAACGTACCAGTGCTATGTTGAGGTGAATTTGAGAGAAGTACCAATGCGCACAGCAGGTCTTACGGTCCAGTGCGGACAGCATTTCTTTTTTACCTCTGTTTACCTCTGTTAGTACAGACGTTTTACCACAGGGTGGCTCGGTTTCCGATCATGTGTGGCTGGCAGTGACACATACGGTCCGTCGAGGCAGGATAGGGGAACCTGACCGACGGTCGTGATTTCCAAGTGTTGAGTCCCAAATCTTTGTGTGTCCTTTTAATCACATTTCTAGAAACGGTTTGAAATTATGAAATTATCTGTCCAAATAACCCATAACCCAGTGGCAGGAGGTGACACATACGGTCCGTCAAAGTTCGGCAGATAGGAACGACATCCACTTACTAGAGGGGCAGTGGACGTCTGACCAATCACTGAAGGCAAAAATCAAGGCACTGATCTGGACAAAGATCATAGTAGACTGGACAAGAAAGGCTGCACAGGGAAAAGCGTTGGCTTCGCTGGTTCTTGGTCGCTTGGGAGAGCCTGAGGAATAATCAACTGGCAGCAGTCACTCTTGAAGGGAAGCTAGTCCTCTCTCCTTGGCTTAAAGATTAACAGCTTCCCCCCTTCTTCTCCTACCCCACCCCCCCTCCTCGCTCTCCTAATCCTGTCTCTTATACACATCTAGATGTGTATAAGAGACAGGCTCTCTTCCCTGCCCCCCCCCCCAACCAGGGTACCTGGTTAGCACGGTCGCAGTAGACCAAAAGCAAGGCTTAGCAGTGATAGAGCCAACGGGAACACTCAGACCAATGGTCCAGCGAGTCGTATTAGGCCAATGTCAGGCCAATTTTAGGCCTGTATGCTTCTTTTGGGTGCTGTCGGAGCCCCCACAGCCTCTGTGGAATCGTAGTTGGCCTGGTCCAGGAGACAACTTAGCACAGACCAGTGTGGATAGCTTCCAGCGCATCTCTTCCCCTCCCCTGCCCCTCTCGTCACCTCCCTTCCTCGGCCCATCTGAGTCCGGTTCCTCAGAACTTCCTCCCTGTCGGTTGTGTGGGCTTACACCACACGGTCCACACCACATTGTCAACCCCTATTGTTGTAATCCACGCATTGCATCCCCCTACCCCCTTCAGGCACTGAATTGTTAGTCCTAGATTCCCAACAGCATTCCCACCTGCTCATTCTCCCTGTTTCTATCTGGCACCGCTCCGGTCCCCTGGACCCGTCAAAAGCGAAGCAGGGTAAAGCCCCCAGTACCGGCCAATACGGCGGCCATAGTGGGGGGGCAGCCCCAATTTTTTTTTTCCTTTTTTTATATTTAAAACTCATATATTGCAAAATTCAATTGGCGGCCCCAACTTTCCAATGAGTACTGAATACGAATTTTGCTTTAAAAAAAAAAGAAAAAAAAAAGAAACTGTTTGAAATTATTATTTTTTGAAGTATTTAGGTGTCCACGAGAATGCAATACTATGGACGTGCAAAGGTGGTGTGGTATTGCAACTTTGCTACAGTGCTATGGGCCTCGCCGCACCACTGTCTAAAACGCGATTTTCGACAGTTTCTCTTCGCCACAGGCTTTCGAAGTAGAAAACGGGAAAAACATTCGCCAGTTGTCAGAGAATGCTTCTCTTCTTTTTTTTTTTTTTTTTTTTTTT